CAGGACCCTTCGGCTGTTCTTGATTACTCCGATTTGTTAGGCATCTAATAGTAGCCGCAACTATACCAACTAGTAGAACCACAGCAATACCAGCGATAATGTACACGTAGATGACATCGAACTGATCTGCACATAAATATTGAAATTAAAAAGTTTTGTATAAACTTTCATTTCGAATCGGAAAATACGTAATTAATCCTTTGTTCTAACTGATGGCAAATGTATCATGCTACATTGCAAATAGATGCAACGCGAAAATGACAAATAATGTTCTATTTACACGTGGCCTACGTCATAATTTGTCAGGCATTATGAGATTCATTACATCCCGATAAATTGCATTAGTCGCTCACCTAGGCAACTGCTAATTTTGTAATTGACGCAACGAATATTTATATCTATTTAACTACTAATTTAAGTCAAACTTGATGCTGCAGAATTAAATAAAACTTAACTATTTTCTTCAACGTTTAGTTCAAAATATACCACAAATTTCACTAAAATCTTTTGAGCCGTCTTGGTGATATTAATTAGCAAATATCCACCCATTCAATTAAGTAGTGTAATCACTGAAATATTTCTTACCATTATCTGAAAGGTGATGTCGCGGTGATGATGGTGATGACTCTTGGTGATTATTACTTGTGACATTGTTGGGTGCTAAAGATGGTTTCTGTGAAGGAATAGCTGCCACTGCTGGAGCCGGTGGTACCGCTGGTTCACCCCACCAACGATCGCCGGACTCATCTAAAGATGAAGAAAATGACTTAAATAAGATAAGCAGACCATGTATGTAAGTATATTAGTATTCTGATTTTGAAAAACTTAACAACTTCAGCGTTATAAAAAGATCAGCAACAAAGAATGATAATCTCAGAAATGATTATCTAAATTGTTGACAAAGCAGTTCTCAAAGACCGAAGTTTTTGGTATAAATAAAAATATTGACAAAGAAGAACTCATTTTCATAAAATTATTGCCTTTTCAATTAAAACTGACATAAAACAATATGTCTGTTTGTTAAGCAATCGGTTTGGAAATGAAACTAATTAGAGTGGTATCATTGTAAAAAGTATTGCACGGCGAAGTGCGCACACTACACATCATAGAAGTGCAGAGCAAATTGGGTCATGCGCAGTCAACTTTGCTCAGCACTCTGTTTCAGTTGACACAGATTTATGAACGCGTGTAACTAATAATTCCGCACTTTACTTCCCCTATTATGTCTGGAAAGCCTTGCTTCAATAGTATGGATTGAACCCGTGTGAGGTTTTAATTAAATAAATTCCACGTTATTGATGTTTGAAGGAAGTGCGAGCGTGTGTTGTAAAGTAGAGCATAAAACTTTCCACTCCATCGCGACGTACTCACCAGTAACATTAGGTTAGGTCATAGTTTTTTTTCTTACAACGGATTTATCAGTCTTATGATAAACGGATCATATACCTTGAGCAGTTTAACTGAAAATATAACATACGAGTAGCTTTTGGATTACATCTTACGTTTCACTAAAATCTAACTTACCTATGTCTTCATTTTCAGTGTCCGATACATCGTAAGCCACTTCGTCTTCCTCTGGTGCACTTTCATATCTTTCTTTAAGCACTGTGCGTGGAACTAAAATAATAAAGTTATTTGAGAAATTTATACGCATTAGTTTAGTATTAAAATTAGTTTGTCAAACTAATTTTCTAACACATTCAAGAGATTTATACAATATTAAATTCTGCATTAAACTTGTTAATGCAGTTCTCGTAAATTGCATAAAATTTAAGCATCACGGTATAATAAGTTTCATGTTTATAGTACACTTGAGATAGGATTTTTCGATGGTCTCTTAATCGTTCTGTTTTATGCTCACTTTATTGCGGTCGCCAGTCAGACGGGAATAACTTCATGTTACATGTCCTTGAATGGACAATAAACTATTCGAATCATATAATCCTTCAGGGTATCTTTTTCTATTAGTTTTGCGAGAAAATTTACACAATAATATAAATGGATTGAATTTTATGATTGTAATCAACAAAATAAACAATAAATTGATTCTAATAAAAAAAAAACGATTTATTGGATTGAAATTGTTAACTTCATAAATAGCTAAGAAATATCAAATACATTTTGTACCAGCTGAGGAATTAAGTGCAGTATTGTGTGTTTTACTTACCACAAGTGTAAACAACTTTAAGATAAGTCCTGCTGCCCGCTCGACAAGGTTTCCCGAACATTTTGCTGTCCGCCGCTAAAACGCATCGCCTCTTTCCGTGGCATTCACGCATTGAAGTTTCCGTGGCGTAAGGTTCTAAGCAAGCTAGGGTCAAATAAAAATAGAAATTAAATTGCGACATACATTTAAGCAATATTGAGTAAAAAACAATTTTTAATTAACTCATAACACATAATTATTGTTCAGTGTTTAAGAAAGTTACTGAAGAAGAAGCAATATTCAAATGCATTTATGGATCTAATATTGTACATAGAAGCTACGTAGGACGCTGTCATTCACTTTCGTACCATAAATTTGCTTTGTCACTTATTCTTAATTCACCCTTTCAATATTCTCGAACCACCGAAGCGCATTTTTCTCAATTTTAGTTACAATGTCCCCTTTTAAGTCACCCTTTTTCCTTACAACGCTATTTTCAATCACATCAGGATTTACTTTTAAAAAATAGAATGTAAGAATTCGTGTATCACATTTAATAAAAGGAAAGCAATACATTTCAAGATAAGTCTAAAGAAACTTGAATTCAATCCAATTTACAAATATTTGTTTTACAAACATCGTAACTACAGCCTCCAACGGGTAAAAGTTTTAATGATTTAACCGTAAGTGGTTCAGAACTTCGCCAAGGTTACATGGAAATAAAAATAAAATCCGCTAATTTCATTTCTGCGAAAAATGTTTATAAGCAAAATGATTAAAAATACGTAATTTATTTAAAAATAGCCCAAATGACGCATTGTATTATCTGTGGTTAACACTACTATACTGCGCGGTTCACACTTGGCCAGTACAGTTAATCTTAGTCTCAGTACAGTAATAACTGGACTGTCAATCAACTGCCACAGTGTGAACGTCAACTGGCACTAGTGAGTTCCTATAATAAATAACTGGCCGTCGCTACTGTCCAACTGTACTGGCCAAGTGTAAACCGGGCATTAGTACATTTTTGTTTAAAAATGTCATATTTTTTTTTTAATTCTTCACCATTAGCCGAATTTAATTTGTGTTACAATTCTTATTTCTTCGTCATATTATAGTCTGTACTCTATACTTACTTTCTTCCTTCATTCCTCTCGGCTGTGGGCATTGTATCGAATCGTACTCCGTCCTGCCGTATTGTGCGGAGTATATCGCAACCCGTGAGTGCGGGTTACAGCTTAAATGCAGCACGTCGTTCTCACAGCCCACTTTACTTCGAAATTCATCTGTTGATCGAATATTACATTAGTTAAGCCTTTTCTCTGTAAAGGGTGTAACATTTTGTAGCTAAAAAGACGTAATGAGATAAAAGAACTTTATGTACGAGCCACAAATGGTTTGTACACTAAATCACAATTATATTAAAACTGGTAGCAGTGACATCATAATCATCATCAACTGGCCCTTATCCCTTATGGAGGGTCGGCACAGTATGTGCTGCTCTTCCATACATCTCTATCAGCCGTCATATCTGAATGCACTCCTTTCATAAGCGTATCCTCTTTTACACAATCCATCCATACTTTCTTCAGTCTTCCTCTTCCTTTGTAGCCATCCATATTCATTCTTAACACTTTCAGGTTTATGTCCCCACCGTCTCTTCGCATAACAACCCAATTAATATAGCTACAATTTTATTAGAATTAAATTCCGTACAAAATTTAATTAAGTAATTAAGTCAATATGCTATCTTTTTCAGTGTTGGGAATAATTTATAGGCAGATACTTACATGGACGGCACTTATAAGCGACTTCGACGAACCTTCTAGAGCCCGGACACGGGTCTACACCAAACGTTTTCGGACTCGTGTGGAATTTGCACTGTCGTTTCTTTTGACAGGCCTCCACTACTGTCTGCAAAAGTGAATACTAACATACTTTAGTTAGTATGCCTATTCTGTTTAGACAAAGGAGTACAGTTAAAATCATACTTTGAAAGTTAAAACAATAACGCTTAGATTTAAATTTTATACAGAGACTAGCTGTTCGCGACTTCGTCCGAGTGGGATTAAGAAATAGTAAAACACATAGTCTTAATTACTCACTGATAAAGTATCTTTTTAATGACGAAAGATTTTTTAAATCGGCACATTAGTTTGTAAGTTATTTCAATAAATACAAAAATACAAATCTTTCTACTTTATAATATTAGTACAGAACTATAGAAAAAGTAGTCATTACCTTGTGAATTTGATGTTATTATATTAAATTAGAATTATTATAGTATATTGTACATTTGTGCTAAATTCACTTTATTGTACACAAAAATATGAATGTTTATAAAAAAATCCTTTGCTTTAGTTTTTGAATTGTTTAATTCTGGAAATATATATCCCATTTTGTTCTTACATCTTTACCTTAATTGCAAATACGTGTTTAATTTTATAAATTCATTAATCAGATTCACCAAGGTAAATAATTACTCGCTGCTAACACAGTATCCGTCACAAGGAATGACTAATGAGAATCATATTTCTCTTCACGACAGATGGATTGTCATATTAAAGTATTTACTAAGTAATATTAAATCTAGGTTACACCTCCACAACAATATTAAGAAAAAACATCGCTAATACTTAGTAAGTAATCGTACAACAAAGACTAATTATTTATTAATTTAATATTGTGGATTGTTATCATTTTAAATAGGTTAGGGTAAATTTTAAACAAATAATATATTTGTAACTAGCGATAGTAATTTAAACACTCAGTTATATATTCCGCCAGGATCGCGCGCGATTTTCAATACGTCTAATGACATTTGACAGCTGTCAGATAAGGATGTGACGTATATTTCAATGATTTAGTGTTGCGCCTACTATGGTACGATACTGATTTTCTTCTTAACAGTTTGCTATAAAGTGCTGCCATCTAGTACAACTAGTCATTATACTCGTAATTGGAACTATGTTACCTGTAACGCGCTTGGCCACGTACAAGGGGCATCACCCCCCAATACTTCGACAGCGACTGGCTGATACTCTGCCAGCTCTGGTGAGCAGGACGTCTGGGACGCGGAGGAACCATATTGAGCTACTTGTATGCTGATCGTAGTCCCGCGCGGACAGATGAGGGTTACTATGTCCTCATCACATGCTGCTTTTTGATGTGTTCTTAATGTTCCCAGGAGTAATTCTGTGAAGCAAAAAACTGCATTCTTTATCTGCCATTGATAGAAGAGTTCGTGTTTAATTACACAATGGGGCAGATAGGTAAAAAAAATCAATGCATTTACTGCGGTTATATGTACCTAGGTATAATTTTTTTATTTACATTTATGTATGTGTTACTAGACTGGGCTGCGAAGTACAAATATAAAATATACATGACTTTATATAACTTTGTGTTAAGTATTATCATTTCGTCTCGATGGTAATTCAAAGTTATCGACGCAAAAGCTCTGTATCAAAATATATAATGAGCTTCTTGAACTCACTTAAAGCTAAAAGCTTTCTACGACCCTCGAAATATAAATAATTTTAGATACCGAATATCTTACACCTGCTTTAACTATATTTAATTGTTCTTGAAACTGAATTTAATAAATCTCCTTGCACGAATGATATTTTTTTTAATTAAATTATTTTTAACCAAAGTAATAACAAGGTAATAAAACAAATGTAGTATGATTTTTTGACATAAACTACGTTGAGTCGCCAATTTCATTAATTGCCCTTAATTTGTCTTCCTATTTGTAATTCAAATACCATTCCAAAATTAGCTAAATACAAAAATTCCACTTTAAATGCTAAACCTACTTAAAATATAAAATAAAATTCCAACATCAAATTTTTTTCGTTGCCGCATTAAGATTTTATTCCAAAAACGGTTACTCGTAATCTCTTTTTTGTAAAGAAAAACCTTTCGAGTCGACATCGCAGTCCAACTTGGAATCGGATAAAAAGTAATTAGACACCCTAAAAAATGTGAGGTTTCAAGTTACATTAAGGCTACGTTTCTGTAATTACAACTTCCTAAAGGTCAACTAACGGTAAATAGCTCGCTGACTCTGCATATAACTTGGTAGTTAGATTGCAAAGTAAAATATACACAACTTGAATGTTGTAACCCTTATTTACGGACTTTATTACGGACCTAACTGCCAATAAACTAAAAGATCACATGACACTTGTATTACAATTTTGTTTCATAATATATACTAATATTGTAAAGAGGAAAGATTTGGATTGTTGGTTTTTTGTATGTTTTTGATTCGCGTAAAAACTACTGGGCCGATTTAAAAAACTCTTTCACCCTTAGACAGATAATTTATCTACGAGTAACATAGGCTATTTTTTTTTAATTTACATGGGCGAAATCGCGGGCAGCAGCTGGTTATGTGTAATACTGCGACAGATAAATTAAGCAACATTATTTTTAACACATGCATAAGTAGATCTTGTAAAATTTACATTCATTTGTTACATTTTTTAATAAGAAAAAAAAGTATGGTTTTGATTATCAATTTACAGTAATTCGTCAATTATTACAATATACAATTGTATAACAAATATGCGGATTTTGTACAAATAATAACTCGTACTAAATCAATTAATTAACCGAACGAACGAGCTTACAAATCAAAAACCATATCAGCAACAAATCTGTTAATCTGTACACATGTTGTTTTATAACTAATTAATCGGTTCGATGTAAATAAAAGCTTAACCGACAATAATAAAAAGTATTTTATTACCTGAAACATCATGTACGGGCCACACTCGTTGCCCATATGTTGGATAATAAAAGCAGGCGAGATAAAAATATTTACAACGGGCAACTGTTCAACATACCCTCGTGTAATCCTCAAGAGTCAGTCACTTAAACAACGGGTCATTAAGGGGATGCTCGCTATTTATAGACACATCCTCGTATTTCATACTTGACGAGAAGCGTAATAGGCCGCACGTGGCGAACCATGCCTCTTATACGCTTGGTACAATTTTTTTTAATATAATTCATTCGTTCACTTTTTAACATGATGAATGATCATTTAAATACTTCCTAATTGAATGAATTAACTCATTAATATGTAATATTTATTAGACTTTCTGTACTTAAGGGTTGTTTTTGTTATAAAAAATAAGTAATGTGTATATCGTATAAGATTTAGGAATAAAATTATTTCTAGCGGAGACATGTGTATTGCTAAAATATGTACAGAAAAAAGACAGAAAATACGATGACATCGACAATGTGTTCTAATTTCAAATAATTTAAATTCTTCCTTTTTTCTAAT